GACTACAACAATAGCGCTCGCAGCTAACCAGCCAGGGTAGCTAGCCGGTGATCAATAAGTAGTGAGCACGCAGAACTAGCGCAAGAACTTCTTAATAGTAACGAATTATGGCAATTTATAAGAAAGATAGCATGTGGAAATTAGAAGTGTGTGTAAATACCGTAACATTGGGGCTGGCGCTAACGCCGGTACCGGAGCCGGCCACCGCCCCAACCGGGCCGATGAAGCAAGAATTATGATGGCGCGAATTCTACTGAAGTTGGATTTAGAAACTTGAAAGATGACGGTTTGTTGATTATTTGGTGTGGTTGTATGAGGTATGAGTCGAATGTAGAGGATCTGTCAGAAGGGCGCCCTATTCGTGGGCCAAATAGCACCGTAATAGCAGCAGAGAATCCTGCGCACTACATTTGGGGGCTGTTCCGGAAGTGAAACTTTTTCCCCGATCTGAGGATAGAAACACTTTGTCTAAATGATTCACACCCCGACAGCTTAACTCGGTAAGACATGCATCTAAGCAACGGGCGCGTTATCAGCCCCACAAAGCAGAAAACTCCTACAATGTCAGTAAGCAAGATGCCCAGCGGGACAGCGGCCCATCATCCTCATGCTCCTACGAAACCCACCGTGGCAGAGCGGCCGCACGGGCATAAGGAGGCGCCCCAACAGGTGGTATCTATTACCAATGTTATGCCAGGGGACACTCTGTACGTCACGTGGGAGCAATTCCACTCCGCTATGACTGTGATACGAATTATTACAGGCGGATCCGAGGAATCGGGAGCAATGTCTCCCATACTTTCTGAATACGGCATCAATGTGCAGGCCTTTTTGCTGCGCATCGAACGACGGTACACCCAGATAGGATTGGAGCCCCACGACTGGGGGAGCGCAGTTATTGACCAGCTTATGGGCCCCGCTCCAACGTATTGAGTGTATCTACGACGAACTATTGACCTAAACGAATGGGCGACGGCACAGCGCAGGCTTCTGGAACGGCTCGAAAAAACAATGTCGCACAGTCGATTGCCAACGGAGTTGATAAACGTACGGTGGAAGGGCAACTCTAATGAATGCACAGACCAGTTTGCAGCTGTAGTGCAGCGTGGCGTTGAGGGCACCCCCGACGAACTCGCTGACAATTACTGCGCCGGGCTGCCAACGGACCTCCATCTTCACATAACCAGTAGCCGGCAGGTGAACTATTCCTCGTGCGGACAAGCAGCAACAGCCGCTGCGCCACTCCACGAGTCTATGCTGACCATGCTAGAGCTACGAAAAAGGGCCTGCAGCACAGTACGTTCTCTGCAGCGACTACGATGCTACCCGGCCGACAGCTATGAAATGCTCTCTACTACCGGCGCATCTGTATTGCAACGTCTACCAATTTATTAAGAAGACCGTTTTGTTTCTAGTTCTCGAAGCCATCTTTTATAAAAGTCGCTTCTCATGGTTCTTGCTTCCTTGGACCGGTGAGGATATGGCGCGCACCGGTGCCGGCGTTGTCAGCAGCCACAGTCTTAGGGCATTCGCAGAAATTTCTAATTTATCTATGTCTATTTGCTAACAAATTGCTTTTCTATTTCACTAGGAAGAGGTTACAGCGCTCAATCCGCGTCTCAACCTCTTAACCGCTTATAGGTCATCAGCGAGCTATCCTCTATAGGTCACCAGCAAGCCCTATTGTAGTGCCTGCGCACTACAACTCCCCCCTTGTCGGACTGAACCGGCCTACCCAGAACACATCATTTCTTCCTTTTCAGTCTCTATTCCCTTCTGAAGCTAATGCCATGAGTGCATGCGATGCGCAGCGCTTCCTCCACCCCCTCGTCATTGAAGACCGTCGTGTGGCGGAAGTTGATGGACACAAACTGCTACACCTCGGAAGGAGCAAGATTGTTTCTAGCCTGAAGATGTCTTTTCTGACGGCGGTGCCGAGCACGGAGCAAAGCCTGATATCCTGTTAGGCGGTTAGCGAGCTCCCACGTGGCTTGATCTTCTGGGGTGCCTCGCCACTTCACGAGGTACTGGGCATCGGCGCCTGAGCCGCGTTGGTCCATAATATAATCGACCTCATACTTCTCTGTCGGATTACCTGCCGCATCGCGGATAGGGGGCCAGGCGGTATCGGCTTCCTGGGGAACCAAGTCTGGAGGGCGGGGGCAGTGGGGAACTAGCTGCGAAACATGAAAAACGTTGTGGCATGCATAAGTAGGAGGTAAAGCGAGACGGTTAGCGACGGTGCCTATTCGTTCAATGATTTCAAAGGGTCCTCGGTAACGGGGCTCGAACTTAGGGCAGCTAGATGACGCCGGTAGATGCTTGCTGCTCAGCCAAACCTTCTCGCCCACTGCATACTCCACAGCTCGGCGCTTTTTGTCTGCGTAATATTCCTGCTTCCATTCTGTCTTCTGTATGTGGCTCTGCGCTCTGTCGCAGAGCTGCCGGAAGAGCTTGGTCATCGGAGGAGTGATGGTCGGGGCTAACGCGCCTACGAATTCAAGATTCGCAGCAGTCAGCGGGTTCTCGCCGATCATGACCTCGAAGGGAGAGAGCGCGATGAATGAATGGCATGTCGTGTTGTAGGCAAGTTCCAGGGCCGGAAGTAAGCGCTCCCACTGGCGTTCGTCAGGTTGGATGTAGGTAAGAAGCATCTGCTTCAGTGTGCGGTTAACCCTTTCAGTTTGACCGTCGCTTTGCGGATCGTAGGACGAGGACATGGCGCGTTTGATGTTGAAGCGACGACATAGTTGTGGGCAGAGGTCTGACTGGAAGCGAGGGTCGCGGTCCGATATGAGCACCTCTGAAAATCCGTGGTAGCGGATAAGACGGTCTGCGAGACGCTCCACGGTGTCTGCTGCTGTGAATGACTTCTTTGCAGGAACAAATTGAGCCATCTTGCTCAGAGAGTCGACCATCACGAGAATCGAGTCGTTCCCTGTCCTCGTAAGGGGAAGATCCGTGGTAAAATCGAGGATCACGTGTGCCCACCGACGCGAAGGGATGAGTAGCTGTTGAAGAAGGCCTGCAGGTTTCTGGCTCAGAGACTTAGACGCATGACGGTGAGTACAGGATTCAACATATGCAGTAGTGTAGGCACGCATCCATGGCCAGTAGTAGTGCTTACTAAGAGCCGTGAAGGTCTTCTTCTGGCCCCAGTGGCCGGCTGTCACATGGTCATGATGTAAATGCAAGACATGCATAAGGAACCCAGGGAGTTGTGGGACACAGATTCGCCATAGTCCATGAATACAAATGTGCAAATAAGGCGGCACATAGCGAAAGGTGACGTGCCGAACGCGAAACTCTATCTGTATAGTGTCTTCTGGTTGTTTTGCAGCGAATTCGTAGGGAAAGCGGAAACGGGACACTTCGAGTAGGCTTGCGGCCATTCAGGCGCCTCAGGAGGGTGAGATCTTCTATTCGTTGCAGGTGTAGGATGCTCCGCCTCTGGTGTGGACTCAGGTGGCGGAGTTTTAGGCGGTGATGGCAAGTTGCGTTGTCTGGATCGTCGCAAACGAATGCCGGCGAGCTCCCTGTAGTTAGCAGGCCGACTACGAGAACCAGGAAGGCGGTGATGGCAAGTTGCGTAGTCTGGATCGTCGCAAACGAATGCCGGCGAGCTCCCTGTAGTTAGCAGGCCGACTACGAGAACCAGGAGCCGCGCGCATTTGTTCCACCGCAAGCATCAATAGTGTCGTTGGTGTGTCGTGCGAGCTGGTGTTAGGAAGATCGGGACGGCGAGACAAGGCATCAGCCACCTGATTGCGCGCTCCTTGAACATAAGTGATGTGCAAATCCGGGAACTCGGCCGGGAAATCTAACCACCAAGCGGTGCGGCCACGCAGATTCTTCGGTGCTTGGAGTCGTTGGAGATGCGTAAGAGCTTGGTGATCTGTATGAGCTGTAACTTTGGTGACACAGAGCAAATGAGACCACTTGTCCAGGGCCGTGACCAACGCCAAGAGTTCTTGATCGTAGATCGAGTATTTCTGTTGTGTGGAGTTCATAACTTGGCTGAGGAAACCGATGGGCTTGCCTTCGTGTTCTAGAACCGCTCCAATCGCGTAACCAGAGGCATCCGTGTATAACTCGAAGGGCTTCGTGGTGTCTGGAACTTGTAATGTGCCGGAATCGATTAAG